TTCATATCATTATTTGGATTACAATTGTAAATCAGCAGAGAAGACTTCATGGGAAGCAAATAAGGTATAATGTAAGGAGAATTTTAATGGTTGAGAGTAAAAAATCTTGGTAATCTTGGGATGCCTGCGTGGCTCAGTCAGTTAAGTGGCCGCCTCTTGATTTTGGCTCAGGTCATGATCTCAGGGTCCTGGAATCGAGCCCGAGTCAGGCTCCGCACTCAGCAGGGAGTCTGCTAGAGATTCTCTCTCTCTCTCTCCCCTCCTACCACCTCTCCCCCTGCTTATCCATGCTCTCTCTCTCTCAAATAAGTCTTTAAAAACAAGTCTTGGTAATCTTAGAAGAAATGAGTCCAGCAAAAACTAAAAAGATAAAAATCTTTGGATTTTTTTTTTAACACGATCAAGAAATTTATCAATAACCAACCAACATTATTTTAGTGATAAAACAGCAGTGTAATTTGTTAGAATAAATAATAAAATGTGGATGACTGCTATCTTATTACTCAAAGGTGTTGTGAATTTCCTAATATGACATAAGAGAGGCATACATAATTAGAGAGGAAGAAATAGAAGAATCAATTAAAAATGAGAAGTTTAAGAAGAATTTTGTAAGGTAACTGAAGATAAGATAAACTTGAAATGTTAAATACCTTCTTATACCAGTTAGAATATATAATAGAAAAAGAATCCCGACAATAGTAACAAATGATATACAATGCCTAGGTATAATCTTAATTGGAAATGTGTGGAACATGTGTGAATTAGACTATGAAATTTTACTGTGGAAATATAAAATTCATGTATAAATAGCAATTCAACAATATTGAATGCCCTGTGTATGTCAGAACTTGTAAGACTTGGGTATAGAGTAATGGACAAAACAGGTATGATCTCCCCTTTTTTTTTTTTTTTAAGATTTTACTTATTAATTTATTTAGAGCAAGTGAGTGGAGGGAGGAGCAGAGGGAGAGGGAGGAATGTCAAGCAGACTCCGTGCTGAGTGCAGAGCTGAGCTGGACTCGATCTCATGACCCTGAGATCATGATTGGAGCCGAAATTAAGAGTTGGATGCTCAACTGACTGAGCCACCCAGGTGCCCCTGATCCCTGTCTTTAAAGGCCAAGGAGAAAGAGGTTGAGACGTTTAAAGGAGGGAGAGAGATGTTAATCAAGAGAACAAGCAAACAAATAAATTGAAATAATTGCTATGTAGGAAAGCTGTCAAAGTACTCTGAAATTATAGGGGAATCTACTTTATGGGTAATTAGGAAAGCTCCAGCTATGGCAGCAGTGAGGGAAGAACATACCTTGCAAAGAAACTGCAAGTGTAAATACTGCGGGATTGGAAAAAGTTGAGTGAGCTTGAGAAAGTGGAAGAAAACCAAAGTAATGGGATTGTAGTGAGTGACAGGGAAAGTGGTACTTAGAGATTGGAAAAGTGAGCAGGACCAGATACACAGTCTTGCAGTCGAGGTTAAGAATTTTGATAGTACTCTATGTTCCACTGGGAAATCCATGAAGCGTTTTCAGCAGAAAGTCACATGACTTAATTCACCTTTTTAAAATGTTTTGCTGGCTGCTCTATGGAAGATGGGTTTAGTGGGTGCTGCTGGTGGAAACCAGTTAAGAGGAGCCTTGAATGATAAGGACTTGCAGGTAGGGATTGTGGCAGTGAAAGGAGTTAGAAGCATGGATGTTGCTGGATTGAATATAGATGGTAAGGTGAAGAAAAATGGAGAAGAAAGATTCCTGGCTGTCTGACTTAACAGTTGTGTAGACTGCGGTGGTTTTCACTGAGTGGAGTAAGATGGAGGAGCTGAGATTGCCAGAACAAAATACCACGGGATGGGTCTCGTAAACAACAGAAATTTATTTTGTCATAGTTCTGGAGGTTAGAAGTCCAAGATCAAGGCTTTGGCTAATTTGGTTTCTGATGAGGACTCTCTTTATGATGGTTACCTTCTCATTATATCCTGACAGGGCCTTTCCTAGGTGTGTACATGTGGAGAGAAAGAGAGCAAGTGAATGCAAGCTCTCTTTTTATAAGGACACCAATTCTGTCATATCAGGGCCCCACTCTTATGATGACCTCCTTTATCATTTACACTTTGTTATCTCTTAGAGGCCCTATCTCCCAATACAGTTACATTGGGGGTTAAAACTTCAACATATGAATTTGTGGGGGACACATTTCAGTCCACAGCAGGGAGAAGCATGTTTGGTGAATATACAGACACAGACAAGGAATGCCCATGAGCCAGTCAAGTAGAGATAGGAAGTTAGAAGTTGGGTACCTGGGTCTGGTTCAGAGAAGTTTGTGTGGTCATTTGCACATAGCAAAGTTTAAAGTACTGAGAATGGAGGGGTTCATTTCAAGAGTGTGTAGAGAAAGGAGAATGTTATATCCCATTCTCAAGAATTGGGAGGTGGAGAGGGCTAGTTATGTCAGTTATTGTTGTAAAGTGAAAGAAACTGTTCATTTGGCAACTTGGAGATCATCGGTGACTTTGGTAAGAGCAGTTTCAGTGAAATAGTGAGGGTAGAAACCAGTTTAGAGTATATTTAATAGTAAATGAGACGTGAGAAGTAGTGACTGTAGATGTGGAAAACTCCTTAAAAAGATTAGCATATTTAGTCAATCAGTCACTCATTCCTCAAATATTTTTTGAGCAACTATTGTGTGTTACACTGTTGTACGTGCTAGAGATAGGCCTGTGAATAAACCAGGCAAAGATCTGCTTTCCTGGAACTTGCGTTCTAATGAAAGGAAACAGACAATAAGCAAGTATATAGTACGTCAGAGGGTTTTAAGTGCTATGGAGAACAATAAAGCTGTGTAAAGGGGATAGAGTTCTATTTTATAGGTAAAATAGGGCCTCTAATAAAATGACACTGGAGTAAAGATCTAGAAGGAGAGAGAGGAAGGGAGAGCACACACATGCCATGCAGATATCTGGAGGGAGAGCATTCCAGGCACAAGGAATAGTAAGTAGAGAGGTTTTGAGGCAGGGGAATGCTGGCCAATTTGTAGAACAGCAAGGAGGTAGCCCTGGAATGTATGAATGAATGAATGAATGAATGAATGAATGAATGAATGGAGAGTGGTAGGAAGTGAGATCAAAGAGGAAGTAAAGGGCCTGATCTTACAGGGCAGCTGCACAGGACATTTTCAGAACCTTCTTGTACTTTGAGAGAGTTTGGGAACCATTAGAGTTTTAATGAGAGGAAGGAAATAGTTGAACTTATGTTTAGAAAGAACTCTGTGGCCAGTTTGTAGAGAATGCACTGTGGATGTAATACTCAGTGTGTAATACTCAGGAAGTACTGCCTCTTATTGTTACTTTTGTTGAAGGTGTAATACAATGGAGACTGCCTAGGTTTGAATGCCAACTCTGCTGCTAATAAGCTGGGTGAATTTAAACAAGTTTAATTGCTTAACTACTCTTTCTCAGTTCTCTAAGTGGTAGAATAAGGAAAATGGGAGTACCAATCTCCTATGGTTGTGGTAAGGATCAAATAAGTTAAAAATATAAGGTGCTTAGGATACTCCCTGGCACACAGTAAGAATTTGTAAATATAGTAAGACTATTACCATGGTGATGATTGACTGTAATTTCTCATTAGTTTGTTTCTTCTACTAAATTGAACTCCTTGGGTGTGGGGATCATGAGTATTCATCTTCACATCCTTATTTCCTAGCACAGCACCTAGAACCAAGTGGCTAATCAAGAAAGTGTTTTAAAACTTGTATACAAATTTTTATCTTTATTGTAATTTACTAAAAAATAAACAGATACATTCTAACAAGTTTAAATCATTCAGAAGTATATAAAGTTTCAAGAACACTTTCCCCCTAATTCCACCTCCATTAGAAACCAACCATTCTTAACAGTTTGGTATGCATTCTTCCAAACTTTTATTCTTTTATTCTATTGTTATACAAATATATATATATTAAATGTGATCATCATATTAGATTTTTAAGGTGATTAATTTCTGGAAGCAGCAAGAAAATTAAATACTGTTATAAGGAGAATAACATAATGAATAATATGACTTCAGGTCTGGAATATATCAAAAAAGTTTACTCCATTTGGGAGCAATATTTTGAGATTTAGGTCAACTGTAGATAAACCCTAGACCTGAAGACATTAAGAGAAAGCTGTTTATTCCTTGAGTCTGCAGGAAGTTTTACTTTCACAGCTCTAAACATGAGGTCTGAGTTCATCTTAAGCCCCTTCGACTGGAAATTCATCTTCAGAACCAAATCTCCATAACCCAGATCAATCTAAATCAGAATCTGACCCATTTCAAATAAATCCAGTAGTTTTTATTATTTATTTATTTATTTATTTATTTAATTAATTTATTTTTTAAAAGATTTTATTTATTTACTTGACAGAAAGACACAGCAAGAGAGGGAACACAAGCAGGAGGAGTGGGAGAGGGAGAAGCAGGCTTCCCGCTGAGCAGGGAGCCCGATGCGGGCCTCGATCCCAGGACCCTGGGATCATGACCCGAGCCGAAGGCAGACACTCAATGACTGAGCCACCCAGGAGCCCCTTTTTACTTATTTTTTAAAAAGATTTTATTTATTTATTTGACAGAGAGAGAGAGAGAGAGAGCACAAGCAGGGGGAGGGGCAGAGGGAGAAGCAGGCTCCCTGCTGAGCAGGGAGCCCAATGTGGGACTCGATCTCAGGACCTTGGGATAATGACCTGAGCCCAAGGTAAGACACTTAACCTACTGAGCCACCCACTGACTGAGCCCCATAAATCCAGTAGTTTTTATGTTCTGTATTTTACTTTTTATTATTATTATTGACTTTAGTGAGTTTATTCTATCCTGCCCTTTTGGGAAGAATCTTTGCCCTACTATAGCTCTTCATAATGTGCTTGAAAGCATTATTTTTATAATGTAGATTATTAGAATTCATTCAAACTATAGGGAAAAAATGTAATAACATTTTGGTCAGTAGTTTTGTTTTTTCTTTCTGAATAGGTGACATCACCAGAACAAAAGAACTCTACATTAAACCCTGTTTCTACTTTTTCTTTGAACTCAAGAGATGAAGACTTTGTGCTAGAATTCTCTGAGGAGTCCCTGAAAGAAAGAACTTTACCTGGTGACCTTCACTTCCTCAACTTAGTTACTATCATAGTCCTCTAATATCTCTCTGTGTAAAATGAAGTTTTTTATTTGAGAAATTGTTACTAAACTAAAAATAATCTTGGGACCAGATTCAGTGTCATACCCCTCAAGCTTTCCCACATCCTTTTTCTATTTCAGATGGTCCTTACTTCCAAATACAGTATTTCCTTCTAATTCACAGGTTCCTTCTTATTTTGCCTGTCAGTTTCTCATCATGGACCTCTGAAAGTCTCTTCTGTCATTACAGTTCTTCTCACAGCTCTGACTCCAGAGCCAGGCCCCTCAATTGCCCACTCCCCTCCCAGGGGAACGGTTCATTATGAATGTTTCATTTACACCATTGGTTGACTGTGGTCTAACCTCTTACTTTCCCCTGTTTTTGCTCTGGGATCCTGGCAATATCAGGGAGCTCTTCAGCTGCTGCTTCCATAGTTGTATTTCCAGGTCTCCATGTTTTCATATATTTTGACTCTTCCCTATGAGTAATTTCCTGCTTCTTGGTAAGTACAGTACATTCTGTAGGATTCTTTCCACTAATTTTTCTTCTTTTTTTGTAATTTCACCAACGGATCTTCCCCTGATTCCAAAGCCATATTAGGTAAGGGGTGAAGTTGTACGTAATTTTTTTGGTCATGGGTGGATGATATAAAAAAGAAAAACTTTGTAATGTGAATGAGTAGTTGGGTTGGAAAAGGTTTACTGGGTGTGGTTGGTAGAGAAAACAAGGTAGGGAAGAGTCATTGTGGGAGGATTGGGTATCTAAACAAGTGAAGTGACAATGGAATAATAGATGATTTTCATAGTTAGACCGTGAGTCTTTCACTCTTTATTTTTTAAATTATTTATTTTTAATTTTTTATTCAAGTATAATTAACATGTAGTATTCTGTTTCAGGTGTATAATACAATGATGCAACAATTTTATACATTTCTCAGTGCTTATTGAGATAAGTGTGCTCTTAACTCCCTTTATCTATTTCACTCCTCCCCCCACCCATCTCCCCTCTGGCAACCACCAGTTTGTTCTCTGTATTTAAGAGTCTGTTATTTTGTTTATCTCCTTTTTTCTTTGTTTTCTTTCTTAAATTCCACATATGGGTGAAATCATATGGTGTTTGTCTTACTCTGATTTATTTCACCTAGCATTATACCCTCTGGGTCCATCCATGTTGTTGCAAATGGCAAGGATTCATTCTTTTTATTGACTAATATTCCATGGTGTGTGTGTGTGTGTGTGTGTGTGTGTGTGTGTGTACTGCATCTTCTTTATCCATTCATCTAAGGATGGACAGTTGGGTTGATTCCATATCTTGGCTGTTCAAAATAATGCTGCGTAGACATGGGGGTGTATATATCTTTTCAAATTAGTGTTTTCCTTTTCTTTCGGTAAATACCCAGTAGTGGAATTACTGTATCATATGGTAGTTCTATTTTGAATTTTTTGAGGAACCTCCATACTGTTTTCCATAGTGGCTACACCAACTTGCATTCTCACCAACAGTGCATAGGGTTCTTTTTCTCCACATCCTTGTCAACACTTGTTATTTCTTGTCTTTTTTTATTTTAGCCATTCTGACAGGTGTAAAGTGGTATTTCATTGTGGTTTTAATTTGCATTTCCCTGATGATGAGTGATGTTGAACATTTTGTCATGTGTCTGTTGATCATAAGTATGTCTTTGGAAAATGTCTATTCAGGGGTGCCTGGATGGCTCAGTCAGTAAAGCGGCTGACTCTTGATTTCAGCTCAGGTCATGATCTTAGGGTTCGGATGTCAAGCTGCATCAGTCTCCATGCTCAGCGGAGAGTCTGCTTGAGGATTCTATCATTCTCCCTCTGCTTCTCCCCCTGCGCACGTGCTCACTCTCTCTCTCTGAGATAAATAGATAAATTTAAAAGAAAATAAAGAAAAGTGTCTTTTCATATCCTTTGCCCACTTTAATGGAGTTACTTGTGGTTTTTTGGTGTTGAGTTGTAGTTCTTTATGTATTTTGGATATTAACCCCTTATCTGATATATCATTTGCAAATACCTTCTTCCAATCTGTACATTGCCTTTTTCTTTTGTTGATGGTTTCCTCTGCTGTCCAAAAGCTTTTTATTTTGGTGTAGTCCCAATAGTTTTTAATTTTGTTTTTGTTTCTCTTATCAGAAAAGACGTGTAGAAAAATGTTTCTAGGGGAGCCTGGGTGGCTCAGTCATTAAGCATCTGCCTTCAGCTCAGGTCATGATCCCAGGGTTCTGGGATCGAGCCCTGTGCAGGGAGCCTGCTTCAACCTCTCCCTCCCCCCCCCGCTTGTGTTCCCTCTCTCACTGGCTCTCTCTCTGTCAAATAAATAAATAAAATCTTAAAAAAAAAAAAAGAAAAAAGAAAAATGTTTCTATGGCAAATGTCAAAGAAATTACTGCCTATGTTGTTTTTTAGGAGTTTTATGATTTTAGGTTTCACATTTAGGTCTTTAATCCATTTCAGGTTAATTTTTGTTTATGGTGTAAGAAAGTGGTCCGGTTTTATTCTTTTGCATGTAGCTGTCTGGTTTTCCCAACACCAGTTGTTTAAGAGATTTTCCCCATTGTATATTCTTGCCTCCTTTGTTATAGATTAATTGACCATATAAGTGTGGACTGATTTCTGGACTCTATTATTCTCTTTCATTGATATATATGTCTGTTTTTATGCCAGTCTTTTACTCTTTAATGAGGTTTTAACTTTTCTGTCAGTGTTGCTTGATTGACTTGTTAGAATTATAATCTAACATTATAGAAGAATATCTTTGGCTCACCTACTGCTCTGCTACCTTCCCAAGTGATCTCCAGAGTTTATTTCCAACAAATAATAAGTCTGTCAAGAAGGTACATTATCATAAAATAGGAAACCATAGCATTGTCAGATAAAAACTTTAAGCTTATATACTTTCCATGTAGTAGTATTCATTCATTTATTTATTCAACAAATATTTATTATTGCTTTTTATATTTTCAGGAATATATCTATTACTAACACTGCTAAAAAAAGAAATTATTTTTTTATTTTTTAAGATTTTTATTTATTTGACAGAGAGACACAGCGAGAGAGGGAACACAAGCAAGGGGAGTGGGAGAGGGAGAAGCAGGCTTCCCGCAGAGCAGGGAGCCCAATGAGGGGCTCGAACCCAGGACCCTGGGATCATGATCTGAGCTGATGGCATACACTTAATGACTGAGCCACCCTGGCGCACCTGAAAAAAGGAATTCTAAAACTCAGCTAAGATCTGCCATAACATGAGTTTACCAGAACTGAACTCTTATCACATACCAATAGATCAGAATAAGGCTAAATACCTTCTTTACCCTGAATGTTAACATACTAATTCATGAGTGTAGTAAATATAAAGGAAGTTATAGTCACATGGTCAGATAAATAAACCGTGAACTTCAGTCTCTGGAGTAGGAATGTAAGGTTGAGCACAAACAACAAGTTCTGAGTATTTGTCCTGACTCTACCAATCAGTAGTCACGTTACCTCTAGTTCTTGGTAGTCTCATCCGTAAAATAAGAATACTAAATCCCTTCTTGGCTGTAAAGTACTTTGAAAACTTAAGTGCTATATAAATATAATCTAGTGATTGGTGGGGGCGGGGGTGAATCCTTAGCTAAGGGGGAAAAGAAAAAGAGAAGGATTGCAAGTTCATCAACCTTAAAGTTTGAGTCTCTTAAGCTTTGAAATCTTTATTTTTTGAGACTAAAATCATTAAAATTTTTTTATTATGGAAAAGGAAATAAAATTATTATTTTTTCAAGGCAAGTTGGTACTTTCTCTTTTTTGTACAGATAGGTACTGGTTTTTAGAGCCTAGGTGATGACTGTAATACTTTTTTTTATTTAATCAGCTCTTTTTTTTTCCTCCCCAGTTATCAAAAAATCCAGTTCTCTGGAGAATAAGAACTTTCAAAGGCTTCCAATAATAAGTAGAACCCGAGTTCCACTCATTACCTTGCCACCTGCTGAAAGGTCACCTGATTTAGATGCTTGTTCATACGTGATCAACTGTGACAGGCAAGAATCTTCTGGTTCCCCCCACATACTCAATTTGTGTGAAGAATCAGGAGTTCTTTCTTTTAGCTGTGGGCTTGAGGACCAAAGTGAAACTTCCTTCTGTAAAGAATCTAGAGAAATGACTCCAAGGGACGTTTTACTTCTCAATAATGTATCTACTCAAAGCAAGTGGCTGAAATATCAGAACATACCCCAGTGCAATTTGACTACTTCAAACAGAGTCGATAAGAAAGTAACAGATGGCTTCTCTGCTGAGGTTATATCTGGGACACATTTTAGTGACACAGGTGAAAGACAGAATGTTGCTGTGAATAAAAGCTCTTTAGACTCTATGCATTTGCAAATGTTAAAAGGCATGCTCCATCAACAGCAGCAGGATTTTAGCAGTCAAGATTTGGTTCCCAGAAAGAAAGCACTCTCTTTGAGTATAAAGCAGACTTCCAAGACTGAAAAACTTCAAAACATGTTAAGAGAGTCTGCCTGCTATATCTACAGTGTAACAGGAAATTTACAGGTGAGGAAGTGTACCAATGTATCTTGGTGCATTTTTTCCAATAGTTACTGTCTGAATTTTAACAGAAGAATTACCAAAATCATATAGGAGCAATGATTTTACTCTTGGAGTGGATGGCTTTTTTTTTTTTTTTCTTCCCCTTATTTGAGTTTTCCAGAACTCTAGGTACAGTCATATCTTCTTTGACTTAAAATCTTTCCTAGTAGTGTGAGCATTAAATGAAATTATATATTTGAAAGTGTCTGGTGCAGTGTCTGGCACATAATAAGTACTTAATAAATTATAGCTCCAACTGTTTCCACTTCCACTACTACTATTACTGTGATTGTTCTCATTTTTCACTATCAGTTCAGTTTTGCCAATCAGATCATTGTTAAGGTAAAGTTAAATCTTATTATGCATTGGTTGTGCACAATTATTGTAGTTGTAACCAGAAATTGAAACACATAATGTT